TTAAATTTTCCACTCTCTGAGATCAAACGGGTTCTCGCAAGCAGCAGGTCTCGATCGTATTCTCCAGCTTCAATTCTGGCTTGGGCGCGAAGCAAAAGGTGGGCTAGAAGACACTAGAAGCGAGGAATATAACCGGCGAACAACGAAAAAGTCATCATGACAACGAAAGACAAGATGTGACCTATGGATGCCCGCCGGTTCCCGTTCGATGTCGGCCAGTTGGTTCGGGACGGGACGGGACGGGACGGGACGGGACGGGACGGGACGGGACGGGACAAAACGGGAAGGGACGGGACGGGACACAAAACGGGACGGGACGGGACGGCACGGGACGAGACGGGACGGGACGGGACAAAACGGGACAAAACGGGAAGGGACGGGACGGGACGGGACGGAACAAAACGGGACGGGACGGGACGGGACGGACCCCCCTGGCTCCCGCCCCGGCAGAAAGGCTTTTAGGAAGTTCAGGCCTTGACGTTGGGACATGCTTGACCCCATGTAACCCTCAACTCTAAGAAACCTCGAGTCCAACAAGCGCTAAAGAAAACGCCATCCCAACAACATTCTTTGACAACGTCCCATGTAGGGGCGGTCGTTTGTTTTTTTGTTCTTTTGGCGGGGGGGGGGGGGTTGTGTGGGCGGGGGCGGTGGGGGGGGGGGGTCAGGCGGTTCTCTATGTTTCCATAGGAAAACCTACATTTTAGTCATTATTTACGTAGGAAAACAATTATTTTCACTATTGTTACGTAGGAAAACCATGATTTTCTTTATATTTACACAGGGAAACCTCTATTTTGTGCATATTTACATAGGACAACAAACCTAGCAAGACCTTTATTTTGTCTATATATGTAAAAAAGGATTCATATGATTTGAATCAAGCTTGCGCGGCTTTAAAAAAGCGGGGCGGGGTGGGGGGGGGGGGGGGGGGGGCGCGACCCTCAACCCTAAACCCTAAACCAGGGAGTATAGGGGCGGTCTTTGGTGTGTCCGAAGGGCTTTGGGGGTAGCCTCGAGGGTTTTTAGAGTTGAGGGCTTTAGGCTCTGGGGTTGAGGGTTCGAGTTTAGGGGGGTTAAGGTTTATAGACTTGAGGTTCAATTTCGGTTCTAATGAAAATGCGAGGGGGGGGGGGCTAAAAAGACTCATATGCTTTGAAGCAAGCTTGCACTGCTCAAAACAAGCCCCCTTTTGCAAACACAATGATCGCATGATGGGTTTTAAAAAGACTCATACTTTTTTGCAAGCAAGCTTGCACGGCTTAAAAAAAGGCGGGGGGGCCCCCGCCATTTGCAAACACGATGATCGCATGATGGGTTGGAAAAAGACTCATCTGATTTGAAGCAAGCTTGCACGGCTTAAAAAAGCGGGGGGGTTGGGGGGGGCGCAGCCTCTCCATTTGCAAACACAATGATCGCATGATGGTTTATCATATGATTTGAAGCAAGCTTGCACGGCTTAAAAAAGCTGGGGGTTCGGGGAGCGCAGCCCCCCCCCATATGCAAACACAATGATCGCATGATGGGTTAAAAAAGCTTCATATGCTTTGGAGCAAGCTGAGCAAGCTTGCACAGCTTAAAAAAGTGGTGGGGTTGGGGGGGGGGGGGTGGCAGCGCCCCCTATTTGCAAAAAAAAGATTCATCTGATTTGAAGCAAGCTTGCACGGCTTAAATATGCTTTGAAGCACGCTTGCACGGCTTAAAATAGTGTCGATGGTCTTCCTACAAAGGTTCCAGAGTTTGAGATGCTTGGCCAAAAGGTGTTTCGATGCTCGGCGGAGGGTTTTTCGATGCTGGGCGGCAGGTTTTCGATGCTCGGCAGAAGGGTTTTTCGTTGCTCGCCGGAAGGGGATGGTTGCCGCCGGACCTGGATCGATGCTGGTGGGCCGTTTACGTTGTTATCTTTCGTTGTTGTGAGACATCTTTCGTTGTCCGCCGGTAGTTTTTCGTTGTTCGCCGGTACACACCCTACTAGAAGCTGGTCCAAAGTCTGCAGGTCTTCGAAATCGAGTTTTAAGGCGCTTTCCTGGCTTCAAAACACAGGGTACGTGCGATCATGGACGCAGATCACGAGCCCCGGTCGAAGATGCCTGGTCCGCGGCTGCTAAAGCCTCCGCCGGGCCATTTTCACCCGGGAACTCGCCGAGAGCCAGCAGTCGCAGGTCCACCAGGGTCACTGCCTATTTGGATGAACTTCGACTAGCTGTGACTAGCTGTGAGAACCATTGAGAACCACTTTGAGCACGGCTCTGAATTCAAGCATCTGAGCAACTCCTTTAGCCCCGTGATTGGACGCGACGGTCCACAGCTACAACAGTAGCACAAAGGCATTCGAAAAGCGACTGCTGCCAATAACCCCTGGAAGCCTCCAGACTCCAGCCAGATTCCAGTTCTGGTGCAGTTGTTGGATCAGGGAGTGCGGTAACAGCAGTTTAAAAGCTCTGTCCGCAAGGCCATCCCGGAGCTATGTGGGACTAATTTGCAGCTTTGGTGCCTAGGCACAATCGCCGGGCTCACAACCATCACCCAACCAGTCATGCCTCTAGACTAGAATCTGCGGCCCGGCGGCATTTTGCGACACTGGGCGGAGCTGAGCAGGTCCAAGCTCTTCGCCACTGGAATAGTTCCTCGTGCGCAGCCGGGATCTAGCACAATTCCACAATTTCTAGCACAAGCCTCAGGGAAGGGCTCGAAGTTGGGGTGTTGCTAAAACTTCGCGGAGTATAGGGGAACAGGCAAATGCTGGGCCACTCTTGGCTGTTAGCACTGCCACTTGCAACAGCACTTCAAAGCCTCGCACTTCTCAGTTTACAATTGAAATTGAATTTTAGATGGCGACCGAGCGCCTGAAAAACCATTAAAATCGGACGTTTGTTTCCCTGCTGCCCGGATGCAGGAGACCAAAGATGGCCTCGGAGTTGGAGGACTGCATCCGCAACCTGGCGACTGGAGCAAGGCTGGAACAGTCCCTAATTACGAGAGTCAGCAGCGACACATCACAATTGGGCACATGACTGTACTCTTCAACTGAGCATCTTCGGGAAGTCGTCACAGTCAGATTGTCCTACTCAGAACTTGAAACTCTAAATCTACCAAACCCGAGCTGTAGCTCAGCAGCAGCAAGCCCATCTCAATGAACTCGGACAGGCTGAGACCACCACCCTGCGGCTTTCTAATTTCAAGTGTGTCTAGACGCATCTCAAGTTTTCTTTGCACGAGGATGCTTAGGCACTTGGGAATCTCATTCACGAATGGCGCCTAAGATCCGAATCAAACCCACAGACCTTGACCGCCCTGGCCCTCGTCTGTCATGTCTGCCTACAGTAGTGGTCCATTTGGTCCGTTCAGCTTCACTCCCTATCCTGCGCTACAGCCAGGCCTTGTCCACATCAGCACGCCGAATTAGCTCGGCACTGCCTTCAGGCGCAACCTGCGATCGGTGTGAGTCTGAGTTCGGGTGCTGTGGGCGCCTTTGCCGCCCGCCAAGCAGACCGGCCACAACCCAGCTGCGGTGGGAGTCGGGGATACGAGGAATCCAGAAACAAAGAGACAACACATGTGCAATGACCTCTGCCAGCAGCAGGCGGAAGCCAACCAACGTCATGGTGCCCGCAAAAAGTCCCTGGCCCAGCACAGTGGATTCTGACTCTACGGAGATCGGCCCAAATTCCGGCCTGCACCCCCTCATTCTTTTAGCACGCGTAGCAGTTGTTTCATTCTACACCCCCAAAACCCATCAAAATTCACAACTCCCAAGCCCTAACGCCCTGATCCAGGTCATCCTGGATCCTATGGCTTTTGTTCAGGATTTCGCTGGAAGGCCATGAGAGCGTCTCACAAAAGTAGTTGTGCCCGGCTTGACACTGTCGGGACCCCGAGGGCCCGAGCCACAAGCAGTCACGAGCCATCACAAGCCTTCAGAGGACCCTGGGCAATTTTTGACTGGAGTCCTGCCTATGCAGCCTATGCAATCACTGCAGTGCGCTGAGATCCACAGCATGCTCTCAACTCTGGCCTGGTACCGCGCGCGGGACATGAGCCCGGAGGCCAAAGGATCGGCACGGTCAAAGAGTCGCCTTAGCCGGAGAGCTTTGAGATGCCCTTTTGGCTTGATACTTACAAATGAAGCCGAAACCGAATCCAATGCAACCCAGGAGCTCGGCCGCCGTCCGCACCTGCCATGCCGCTTTGGCCATTTGCAGGGCGAGGGCCCGAGCCGAGGCGGGGAACCTGCAGCCATGGGAATCCTCTCACTCTCTCATGCAAACTCTGGTCTCGCTAAACTGCAAGGGCAATCGTTTCCAAACCTCCCAAGCCCCCGTGCCACGCCAGATGACAGACAGAGAGCCCAGGAATCAGCAAAGGGAGGATGAGATGCGCATTACTGGCCAGGTATGACAACATCGCCACTCCACAACAATAGTGGCAATCCAGGCGCCCTGCAGCAGCCACCGCCAAGTCCTGCACTGCTGCCGCCGCCTGGGACGCCCGAAATCACTGCCTACCTCCGTAGCTGTGCTGTCGAAATGACAGGGATGCCAGGGATGTTTCTGGCATTCCGGCGTGGCTCTGTGCGGCATAGGGCCGTACATAAATCCGCAAACGGGATCGAAGACAGGTCACCAGTAGTACTGTAGACTCTGTAGACCCTCCAAACCCATGCGGACTATGGAGTAAATCATTGCCGGGTTGCATCCTCGAAGTAGCTTTGCAAACCTTGGTGCAGGAAGCATCGGATGGCTTTGCCGCCTTGCCCTATAATCCTTGCCAGACTCACATCTTTGCCTTGTGACGAGCCACAGAGGCGGGAACTCGCCAGGGTGTCACGCTGCAGGAGGAAAGGCATCCTCAAGTTTCAGGCAGACTTCCGGTACGCCTGAATCAGATTGGGGTGGCCAACCGGTGATGAGGTGTTTTGAGGGGCCACCTCTTAGTTCTGACTTGGATGGCTTCGGCAACCCTAGATAGCGAAAATCGTGCGCTCCTTGGGCAACAGCTCGCTACGTGTTGAAGCTGCTCCCCGTCCTCGCCAGCGACATGGCGAAGAGGTCCACGAAGCCCTGGCTCAGGAAGTCCATCTCCGCATGCAGGGCTAAGGCTTCTTCCTGCGTCAGGCAGAAGGGCACCGCCTGCTGGACGAACTCCTCTGGCGTGACCTGCAGGCGTCCAATGTCTATCGCCCACACCAAACACACTTGTCCCACATGCCTAAACTATCTTTATGGCCAATATCTGCCAAATTTTTTTGGTACTCGGCCACCAGCTGGTTCCCGTCCGTGTCTGCGGCTAAGAGGGTCTGGTTGAGGTCCCCGAGATCAGACTTCACCAGCTCGCGGTAGTCACAGAGGGCTAGGTGGCCGCGAATCATCCGAAGGGAGTCCGCTGTCAAGTATCCTAGCTGCCCGGGATCCAGGGCCGTGAAAAGCTCCAGGGCATTCTCTGAGGTCACCCGCTTCCGCAATAAGCCTGCCACCCACTCCTCCTGACTGACCTGGCTGTCCTGGCTTGTGTCCAGGAATGCAAGCACATCCTCAAGCGTCGGGTGGTCCTCACAGGACAATGCAGGTAGAATGAGCCATGCCCTCTGGAGCTATTCATCTTGAAGTGAATCAAACCCTCGAAGGTCCGCACGCAGAAGGATCCGCAGGCTAGGCAGGGTCAAGTCATAGCTTATGGCATCCAGCTGCCGGTCGGTCAATCGCAACAAGTTGGGGTCCTGAGCACTCTCCAAACATCCCTCGTGCTGCACAAATTCTCTGCTGGCCATCACCTGGACCCTGGAGACCGACAGCAAAGACCCTGGCCTGGCAAAGCGACGCCAAGACATCGTCTGCATTCTGAGAGGTGAGGCCAAGTGTACGTGTCACGAAACGCTTGAACTCGTCGTTCGTGACAATCCCACTTCCATCTGAGTCCATGTTGCTGACCTGAGTCTTGAATAGTCTTGACAGGGACGGGGGAGACATGCATTCGAACGCAAGGCGCCCTAAGGTCCTAGGCACAATCCCCCAGAGGCCAACAACTAGGCTGCCAACAACGGCCTCCTTTGTGGCAAAGAGGGACTGCAGGAACCCTCGGAAGCCGACCAAGGAGACACCCTCCACACTTCCGAATCCTCGGGACGAGTGCTGGTCGCAATCAATGAAAGAATCACAGGCTGCTGAGATGTGCTGAGCAATGCTGCCAATATCTACGAACCAAGCGTCCTAGCGCCACGTAGCGTTCCAATAACACGTAGCCCTGAAAGAAGACATCGATGTGCCTCTCAGCGCTTGTAACTTTGCAGTTCCTTCTTGTCGACTCAGCGAAGAGGCGGGAAGAGCAACTAACGCTGGTCCCCTACACTCTCTCGCGCATGCATAGCCCTCGAGGGGGCAGTGCACTCTCCGTTCAGAGCCAACGCAAACGCGCACAATCAGCCTCCAGCTGAGCTCGCCCATCACGGCATCAAGGCCATAGTCCTGGGCCAGCCCTATCACTCCTTGTCCTCCTCCATCTCCCTATCTCCCTTTTCCGCTTCCTTTGTTATTCCTAATGGCTTTGAGGCCCTAAGACCCTCGCACCCTTGCGAAGGGCACACCCCAGTCCAGTCAGTTTGCTGCACCAACGGAGAATGGAAGGCCGGCAACGCACGGACAAAACAAAGAGCATGGACACGCAACAACGATGACTGCAGCACTGGCAAAGGCGTGGGAGATGAAGGTGGCAGTCCTCATCGTCAGAGCTCAGGGTCTGACACAGGAAAAGAGTCTGGCAGAAGCGAAAATAACAAGAAGGAGAGGAACAGGCGAGAAAGCATGAAGGGGTTTGCCTCGTGCAGCGATGACGAGAATGGGGGGGGGGGGGGCCTTTCCGACATGCAGCCCGAAGGACAGCAGGAATATACCAAATCCGGCGAAGTACCCAACCTTCTCAACGGATCGCTCACAAGAAGGGCTAGGTGGCCGAGAGATGACGGAAAATACCAATTGGGGCCAAAGTAGGTGCGGTCGCGCCCCGTGTCGCGCTCTGAGAAGAATGGCATGTCACGCAAAAAAGGCTGTCGCAGACGGGTTTGTCGCAAGCAGAACGTTCTTTGTCATCCTTGTTGCAAAAGCGCCCCCCGGGGCCTGTTACAAGCCCTGTGGTTTGACCCGCATCCATACGCAACTTCTAGAGTGAGAGAGGCCTGAGGGGCAGAGGGAGGGAGAGCTAGACGTAGTGGTTAACCAACAGTCTCGGCCCCAGAAGGCTCACTTGCCTCCAGGATATCACATGACCCAGCTTAAGCAGCGTGAGATGTTGTAAGTGTGCAGCGCTTGGTTGGACGGATGCAATGTGTAGGAAGATGCGGGCGGACGTGGGTGGCCTCACAAGCATACTGCGGGTGGAACTTAGACAGGGAGGTGGCCTCGGCAAAAAAACACACCAGTATGAGTTTTTTGTGGGTCGGTTTAAAGGGCTCCGAAAGGGAGCAGCCGAGCCACGCGCCCTATTGTGTTGTCTGGGGAAGAACCGAGATTGATCAGCTTAAGCCTCTTAACCTTACCCAGTGCGTGGCGGTGCGCCAGCAACCTAAACTTCAGTCCTGCAACAGGAAGTTCACAAACTCCTCCTCTGTGACCCGGTCGTCTCCATTCGGATTGGATGCATTCCACGCATCGTCCACAAGAAGGAACCGCACCTGAAGTCCAAGGCTGGCACTGCGGACAGGGCACACCAGGAGAGGGCCGGCACCTGCATCAGCGCACGAAGAGTCTGCAAGTCGTCCTGCCCCATCAGAAGGAGGTAATGGTTGCCTCAGTAAGCAGATTCTCAGCATTCAACATCACTCAACTGCTAAATTCTCCAGTCACAATGCGATCCAGGCTCTATCCAGCTGGCTCTGCCCGAGGCGGGCCACCGAGTCCCAGATGGCTTCGGCATTCACCTGGTTTGCGCTCCAGTTTGCGGTCGTTCTTTCGATCCAACTTGCCGCAGACAGATGCTGGCAGGTTCAAGCACTCCGAAATTCGCCGAGACTCCGTCGTCAGCTCTGCAACTGAAACAACTTGGCCCACAAACTCTTCCTTCCACCTGCCAGCCACCGCTCAGCTTTGCATCAGGAGTCAGAGCCATCGTTTGCTTACCGCAAGCCCATTCGCACGCCCATTCTAGCAGGGAGAGGTGACCTTGCAAACACTTGCACCGGGCTTGCCTTCCTGACCTGTGCACCTGCAACATCCTGTAACCCTATGATCGTGGCTGTTCTTCCTGCCTCAGCAGCCACCATATGCAGTCAGTGTTACACTGAGCCCCTGACACCGACGGGTTGCCATCCAAGCTTGCACCCGAGAGCATCTGCGCCTGCAAATCGTGGTGATATGTGGTGATTGACGAGCTTCGTACTAGGCACGACACCTTTGACAGTAGCTTCTTGAAACTGCTCCACTATTATTCACCTTTGTACAACGTTTTGGGCCCGAGGCCTGCCTTCCAATTGGCAAGCAAGAACCGCAAGTACGTACAGTACATACTAATATCGAATTCCCTGCCAAGTCGCCGGAGTCAGGAAAACGGATGCCATGAGCGTGCGGAGCTCGGTGATGCTCACCTCCGGCTCCTTCAAGGGCAATCTCACCGACTCTCACGATGTGCAAGCAACTCAGATTGCCATCGAACAAGCAACTCACAGCCGTGTGCATGCAGCAAAGGCTCCAAAACTCTGTACTGCTCCAGGGTGATGTACCTTGGGAACACAGGGCAGACCTCCCCCGGACAGAGGTTCCACAGTCGCCGCAGTGGCCGCTCAGTAGCCCTTTCAGACAAGCTGCTGTTGGCTTAAGGTCACACCAGGCCGGTGTTGGATCTGCTGGTAAAGAACCTGAAAAAGAGGCACCAGTCGCATGCTTCTGCACACGCCGCACACACCACATGGACAGCGAAGCTGTCAACGCAGACCTCTGCGTCTGCCGATCGTGTGACGCCAATTGCAGCAGCTTGAAGTAAGAACTCTTCCTCCTGAGCGTAGCAGATTTCAAGGTGACTTCAAGCGACTTCAAGATCATTGCAGAGGCATGCTATGATACCTCAGCAAGGCGAGAGAAGGAGTGTCGCTTGCCTGCAGATGTGAACAAGTAGAACAGCATAGGATTTCCTTCCCTATACTGGCGCCAGTTGAAGCACTAGCGCACCCTTTGACATCAATGAGCGGTTCAGCATGGTTGTTTAGTTTCCCGGAAAGCCGGGCCACGCCTAAAGTCCTCCCAGCCATTCTATTCTGTGCCAAGCATCGGATACTAAGCCATCGCCGTTGGCATCGGCCTGTTGATAGGCCACCTGTGACACACCCACCTCCTCCTGGAAACTCGCCAGGAAAAGCGCGCGGTAGCGCACCAAGTTCAGAGAGCCCAGGTTCGACTCGCAGGATGGGGCAGAGCCCGAGAACCGCCCGTCCCCACGGCAGATGAGCTCGGTGGGCCCTACACGGAGGTAGCCCGGGCTGCAGGAAAAGGTGACCACGTCACCGAACACGAAGGTGCCAGAATCCCCGCCAGTTCGGAAGCCAAAGTCAGGAATGCCTGTCGCTGAGGAGTTGGTGCCATGATTGGTGCACAGTCAGTCACAATGCGGACGCATGGAATTGAGCGCTTGCCGCAAACTTACACTGCGAATCGCTCCAAGGCCTGGATCGGGGCAGGAGACGATCTGACACGTTGGCGCTGGAGGCGAAAACGCGCTGCTCTCACTTATCACATTTCCGAATGAGTCGTAGTCCATCTGGCACACGGACTGAGATGAGCCGACCAATTCGTAGCCGAATTGGCAGGAGAAGATCAAGATGGCACCTCAGCTTCGAAGGCCGGTTTCTGGGTTCATCTTTGGATTCATCTTTCGATACGTAGCTTGTAAATGTCCGTGTTGTTTTGGTTTTTGTTTGTCTTCCGTATCTACTGGGCAGCTTGAGGCACCTTCTGACAGTTCTTCGCCACTCCGGGCCCCGTTCAGCGGGACGCCAGGGTCAGGACAAACAGCAAGGTATGTGAAGCCACCGATTCTGATGGCCTGCTGCATTCTGAACGGCGCATTCTTACAGCTTTAAACCTTAACAAGCTTTCCAACTCAAAGTCACCAACGAGCACCAGCCAACATTCAAGCACCCGATTCTCTCCCTGGCCTCGTTTTGGTTCTCTGCTATCACCACGACGTCCACAGCACCCCGAATCTCGCTTTCCGGCGTCAGAGCAACGACGAAGTTGCTCGTTGCAGAGCCCCCAACAATGAGGCCCTCGTTGCCACCGAAGAAAACCTGCCCGTCGCAAACAAAGTTGAAGGACCACAAGAATCAGGCACATCTTCCTCCCCACCCTGAAATCCCCGGACGCTCCCAGAACACCGCCCGACCGACACAATCGTGGCATCCAGATCCGTTGTCTCGATGGTGACACGCGTGTTGCCACCCATCTCGCCCTGCGACGGGTTTAGGTTGCTGATGTCGCCGGCTCGGTAGTAGCTGTAGACGTTACCTGGGCGTTGCAAAATTGAAATCCAAGGGCTGGAATCTCACGTACGCAACTGTGCCTGGCAAGTTTGTTCCTTTGCGGGACGGGGCACTGCCTGTGGCCACATTGCCATTCGCAGCCATCACCGTCACCTTGGTGGGTTCTGCACTGACTAGCGCTTGGAATCTTCAGGGGCGTCAACTTGGCAGTTTAGCTTTGAGATGCTTTGATGTCTTTAAGAACCCTTCCAACGTCAAACAGTACAACTACACTGACAATACCCGATGATGCACCCGTTAACATCCCCAAACGCAGGTTCTCGCACAGCGACCGACACAGCGCCCGAGATGGCTGTCGCGGGAACCTCGCAGATGGCCCGGGTGCTGGGCGCGCGGCCTTACTTCTGCAGAACTTCTCTCAGTAACTTTATCCAAAAACTGATTGCCTTTGGAAAGCAACATTGTGGAAAACGGTTGCGAGACGGTTACAAGATGGTTCGTTGCAGAGCTTCCGTCTGCCAGAACATAGGGCGAGCCGACGAATCCAAACGTGATGTGCGTGATCGGGGCGCCCAAGTCTGTGACGTAGATTGTCACCTGGACGAAAATGCGAACGATGTGCAGAAATTTTTCGTTTGCACTCAATGACACTCAATGAGCACAAGCCGTTCTTTTGCATTATAGTCTCGCTGTTGAGTGCCTCCGCACTTGATGTACCAAGGCACGATTTCCCCGCCCAGCGTTGGTCCGAAGGTGTCAGAAATATTGATGAAGCTGCCTCGCACGAAGCGGTTGAAGATGTCCACCTCAGGCGAGCACTTGGCTTAGAATTCTAGACCATCCATGACCATTCTACACCCCGCCGCATTCAGAACTCATATCCCACAGCCTTCAAACCGCACGTAATCGCACGTATGCACGACATTTTCAAGCCAGGGGCACGGTCATAAGGTCTAGGCTACAGATTGAACCAAAAACATCCAAAAACCAGGTTTGCGAGATTTTGCGAGCCACAGATGTCGCCCACAGGCCATTCGCCGCAAAAGCTGTCACCTGCGTGTCAAGTCAAATCCAAAAGCTTCGGACAAACACGGGAGCAGGGGCAGCACAAGTTTGCCAATGCCACACATTCCCCATTATCCGACAATTTCCCAAGGCTTCCCGGCCGTCTCCAGGCCCGGAGTGAAGGCGGCAGGGAGCAGGCATTGGACCGCTGTGGTCTCCTGTCATGCGCATGTGGTGGGTGATGGTGCCTCTGAGGTGTGTGGCAAATGCATTCATCGTTCAAGCGACAACTGATTTCTCGGCGCATAAGGGGGGTTGATGCCTGACCGGCCACCGGGCTGGCCGACAGGCAGGCTTGCCTTTGCAGCTGTACAGGGTGTCGCTGTACGCAGCACTGGCGAAAAATATATGTCGATCTGGCTGGCCATGACATATCGAACCAACGCTACACTGGGCAGAGTTGGCAGTATTTCGCACTGAGGCATTCATGGCTCTCATCTGGGGCATTGAAGCCACCCGCCAAGATTCCCACCAAAAGTACTGACGCTTTACTTTGAGTGCCTGCGCCTTGGTCCAGAGCGACTATTTTTCCAAGCTGCTCCAAACCTTGCGAGATGAAGGTCACGTTGATGATGGGAGCTCCCCTGGTGGCTCAAGAGTCAAGAGGCTTGGTGCAACGGCCAAGTATGAAAAAGCAAGTGCAGCAAGCGAGACCAATCACATGCCGGGACACAGGTCTGTGATCTCGACCAGAATCGACACCTGCACAGAGCCACGCTGGAAAGAGTCATTACCCCGCTTCGACTTTGACCCCGGTCGGAGGCACGTGGCACGTGTGCCGGAATGCAGAGCACCACCTCAACAAGCAGTCCTGAGGGCCTGCCCCGCCAGATCCCAGCCACTAGGGTCCTTGGTTTGTCGGTGCGTTTCCCCTTTAGCTTCAGTCACAGCAGGAGAAGTCTTTAGACAAATTGTAGGTGCAATATGGTGCAATCGCAATCGTTCAGCAAACAAAGCCTTGACAACGGCCGCGTCACCAGGCGGCGCACTTTCCCGATCACCGCCACGGTGCCCACCCACTTTGAAAAGGCCAAGTCCTGGCGCACGAAATGCATGAAATGCGTGGACATCTTCAGCGAAAACAACCTCCACAGATTGTCGGTATCTTCACAGCGTCCTGGCTGCAGTCGTCAGCACCTCACGTTCTAATTCTTCGCAGGTTGATAAATCTCCCCATGCAATAATGACAAATAGAAAGCTGCGGCGGCTGTGTTGCGCGCATGCGCGCATGTGCGTCCCTCCCCAATGCCTTAAGCAGATTATGTGACATGCAGAGCGACTTTCGACAGCGCGCGGTCAAAGCATGTCAAAGCAAAGCAGAAGTCCAGTCGATACGTTTCGCGACACGCAGGTTCCGACATTATGCGACACAACAGCGCCACCATCGCAGTCCAGGCAGCTCAAGCAGTAGCAGATTTGGAAGGGTCCCGAAGCGGTCGGGTAGCCCAGGTCGAAGGTGGCCCAATTTCCATCCTGGAAACACAGCGGAGGGGGGTTTAGGGCGCCACGAAGCTGGAAGAAGGCTAGAAACCTTATTCGGCCCTGACGCTGCCGCCACGCTGACTGCTGCACCCCGCGGCTGCAGAAAGGAGGTTCCAGGGTTCGCCTGCGCCGTCCTGGCGCGATTCAGGGCTTTAGGTAAGCTTTGGGTGCACACTTCCCAGAAGCGTGTACCGAGATGCAAGTACGTGCCGAGTGGTCTGAGGTCCGTCCATCGTCAGTTCAGCATGTTTTTAGAAAAGAGCCATTTTCCCAAATCTGGCCACTGAAAGTGAAAAGTTCATCCCGTCAGGACGAAAACCCCCCGAAAAAGAAAAACAACTTCTGCACAGACGCAACTATCCCTGGACACTTTAGAGTTGAGGGTTTAATCAGAGGGTTCAGTCGTTCCGGCACAAGTGGCGACTGCAGCCTTGTTACAGACGGGGGCGCATTCTGCTGTGGATACTGCATCTCACCCGAACGGCCTGCAAGGCTGTCGTCCAGGTACCACTTGGATGTAGTCGCCTGGGAATCACTTGGGGCCTTTTAGCTGCAAGCCTTCAATGAAATCTGAAAGGAGGAGTCTTCGGTGCAAGCGGCTGCCTCTCATCTGCTGGCCACTGATGTTCAGCACCTGAGCTCCCAAAGCCCAAAGCCTGGCAGCCTGGCACCTTCCAGACCCTGCAGTCCCCGCAGGTAAGCTTCGGACGCAGGACACGTTTGAGCTGTTCTGCATTGTCACCCGCGAGCTGCCATCCACGCCAACCGAGGCTCCAGTGAGGTCAACTCCCATATTGCAGAAGAAACCTGGGCTAAGCTTGGGCTAAAGACCCGAAGTCTGAAATGTCGACTCGAGATGTTCAAGTCTTCCTTTGGTCGAAGTCACCAAGCTCCCCTCGGGCGGGGGGTCCCCTCCAGAACTGACAGCCGTCCAGGCAAGCGGATTGAAGATCGCTGTGGGCAGCGCAGCTTGGAGCCCAGGCCTAGGTGCAGACGCGACAAGAACGGCGAGTGTGAAGGCAGGTCAAAAGCAGTCTTGCAAGTAAGAGTCCTCGCACCCAGAAGCGTTGACTTCCACCAGTGTTTCAACCTGAAGAGGCTTGGGCTTGTCCATGTAGGCCACGGCTCGATGGTTCTATGGAAACTTCCGAGCGAAACCCCCACTCCTGATTAAGTTAGTTCAGAGGGGACATCTTTCCAAGGGCAAACCTCCCTTCCCTCCCTTCCATCCCTTCCATGGGGGGGCACCCAGAGAGGCCACTCGAAGTTCAGCAGCGCCGCATCCCCGGTGGCAGGCGGGAGCTCCTGAGACCGGACTGCCCCAAGTTTGAAAAGGTTCCTCTTCGAACACTCAACAGCGGGCTAAGTCTCCACAGGACCCTCCATTCACCGTGTCACCTTGATCATCTGCTCTCTTCAATAAGGAGAGAGCATAATGCTTTTTGCTTGTGGAAACCCCCGCCTCCAAGGCCATGCCCTGCTCGGCCGTTGTCCGCCGGGCCAACAAGCCACAACCGGCATAACCTGCAGGTTTCGTCGCTTGCTGACTTCGGGCAAAAAATGGCAACAGAGTCTTTGGATGGTCCTGGCGTTCAGGGTATTTGCGCAGCATCTACCAATATCTGCCAGCCAAAGGGCAATGGCTGCGTGTGCAAAGCTCATCGACTTCATTATCCTCTTCGTCGCCTCTCCAGGGAAAGGGCCAAGGCTGATACAGACACGAGCCGGCATTTGTGAATCAGAAACCACACGTCAATCAACTGCTTAGATGCTCATACAGGTGTGACGCTTGCTGGGGCCTGGCCTGTGGAATTACTTGTCTCGTTAACGTCTGCCTCCTCCTCGTGATCGCAGACATTCAGAACTCGACAAGTCACCATGTGGCTTGCTTTATGACTGGCATCCCCAAGAGGACGCCCAGCATACAGTGTATATACACTCGCCAATATTTGTCACGAAACCTAAAGATACGCAAAATCCATAAACAAAGACCCTGTCTCATGTAGATCTCACACTATTTGCACGAGAATCCAAGAGCAAAATCCCTAAATCTGGAGTGAAACCCTGAATATGGAAACCAAAAGCCCCGAATCCTACACGCTTTCCCCTGCAACCGAACATCAGATCCTCAAGGCCTTAACAATTCCCCAAAACCTTACTTTCCCAACGCTTCTCTTAAGAACGTCGTTCGTGGCTTTCGTGTTCTCAAGCGCCCCAAAGCGACCACCGCCAGGCGCAGCGGGCCGCGCAGGGCCAGCCCCCAGGGTGCTCCGAAGTTCCTTGTTTTGCTTGGGTTTAAAGGGGCTGTGCCGTTGTGAAGAGCGTTTTCTAAGAAAGCTACAACTCGGTCTGGGGCTTTCGGCATTCTAGGCAAGGTGGGTGCAAGGAAGGTCTGCAGGACTCAGCAGCTTAGTGTATTGCAAGTCAGGGTCCCCGCAAGGCTGAGGCGAAGGAAGCGAGCCACTGGACCACCAGGGATCTGCAGGCGCCGAGTTTTGCTCAGACTTGGAAAGGAATGGGGTGGGAAGCGCATGTAACTAATGCAACTAGCAGAGCACTTACACACCCAGCAAGCACGCGCCGGCCTCCACTGTCACGAGGGTCGAGTCCAAGGACGGAATTCCTTAGCGGCTTTGGGTCTACGCAACGCACGCCAGGCAGGCTGCAATCAAGGCCACTCCTGCGCACTTCCACTCGGCGCGCCTGAAATCCACACCGCTTGAGACCGGGGTCACTCCAAACTAGCATCATCATGGGGGAGGTGGACAGGAGGAGATGGATGAGTTTCGTGACCCAGAAAAAGACACGAACGATCATGAGCTCCCAACTTTGGAGCTAGCTTTCGTGACTTCTCCAAACTTGCACACGTCTCTCTACACGCTGTTCGAAAATGTGTTGCAACCAGGGGGCCAAACTTGAGAACTTCCTCCCAAGGGCCCTGGTTGCTGTCACCAGACTGCAGCAATGCCTCACGAGATCTCACGAAACCCCGCGCTCTGCAGAAGGACTCTGTTCGCTTGAAGCTGCGTTGACAGCTCATGCACTGGCACTGTCGGGTAGAGTAATTTGTCGTGGCTTGTAGGAGTGACGAATAACCCTGGAACAGCTCATTGCGAAACTTGGGCACACACACACACAAACACACACTTTTTTACTTCTACATCAAGCACTCAAGAAACTGGCCTCTTGCGGGTTCTCTGCCGTACCCCACAACGGCAGAAAAAAGCGTCGGAGGCGCAAGGCCACGCCCAGGTCGAGAATCAGCCATTGGTCCTTCCATATCGCGAGATGCACGTAGATAAGCTCAAATGTTTGAGGCGCTACAAGATTGGTCCCGCAGCGCTTTGAAAGATGAGCGCCACCGACCCCCGCTTCGCAATCCAAGGTTTGCAGCGGCATAGGTGTTGGAGTCATACTGCGTTGAGAAGTCAATGACCTCAGCTCCACTCCCGAAGAAGAGACCGTGTAGACAGGCGAACTTCTCTTGTGCTAGGACCTTTTTGTACTGTTTCTTCCAGCCAGGCACCGAAGGGATCGCCAGGCGGGCCCGGTTCTCTTTGCACGGTTGGGGGTACTTGTCGTGGCAGCGCTGCCAGCAGAGCCGCACCTCCGATGCGCAGCGCGAACAGGGTTCGACTAAATCCTTAAAATTCCCCTAATCTTCAAAGGTATGCATGCATTGCCGCCAGCCTCGGATGTGTGGTTCAAAACCTCAGGCAGGGATTCAAGTCGGATGAAGACGGCCACAAGGATTCAGAGGTCAGAAGACTTCTGACCGAGCCACCACCAGCCGCCCGAGGGGCAAGTTGAAGTCGATCCTCTGCACTGTAGAGCTAAGAATGCGTGAGCGCATGGCGGATCCGCTATGGGAGCAAGCAAGCTCCATGCAGTCCTTGCTTGATGACAGCTCGGGTTGTTGCTGGCGCAGGTTAGCAGGCCTCACTCAGGCTGCACAAGGTTGCGCTTTGTACGGTTATGCTTCAAACGGATAAGGTTTTAAAGGGCTTTGAAAGAACAGCGACCGTACAGCATGCCACTGGCTAGGAGCTACATCCCGCCTCCTTGAAGTGTCGCTGCAGGGGAAGTGAGCACTGCCCCAGAGCCTCGCCCAGTGACCTGCTAAGGTGCTCTGCTTCACTCTACCAGCCGTGGCCTACCAAAAACCCCGTTACTGCCTGTGCCACACCAGCGACGCTGGCAGCAGTTGCCGCCACACAGTTGGGGTTTTGCTGCGGGCACCAACACCTTAGAAGTGCAGCTGTTCCTTGCCGCCCTTTCGCTGATCTCTCCAAGTCCTTTCGCCCAGGCACAGGCCATAGACGCGGCCTCCAACCTGCAAGCGATCAGCCATTGCTCCGCTTTTGAAGATGTTTCAGGAGGTTTCGGACATTTTGATGTTCCCATATCGCCAAATTTGCCACCAAAAGGCTGCATAGGGTCTGGGCACCTCCCAAGTGTCGCCCCAGGTCTGAGACTCCAAGTTAAAGACCTTGCGGATTATACACGCGTAGGCATTTGGCATGGATGTCATAAGGGCAGGAGCTCAGGAAATTGATTGCTCCATGAAACCATCAGGCGATGCCACTGTGAGAGCAAGCGTGATGTCCTCTATCTGCAATTGCGACTCTGAAGAGTCACCGTAAAGACTGGCATCCCAAACCCGAGATAGAGAAGATTGTGAGAGCTTCTCAGGACAAATGACGAATAAAGATGATGGTATGGGCATATTCATGCTGTTCACGGACAACACCGTGCAGAAATCCCCCCAAGGTCGACAAATAGCCACCAAACGGCATCTGCCGTGCTTGGGAGATCTGCGCCGAAAACGAAGTCACTACCACCGCTGGTGGCGGGCAGGGACAAGCTCCCCCCTGGCCTTGGCCACAGCATGAAGTTTCTGCAAACCCCAAACCTCCTTTTGCAATACACGCGTCCGCAGTTTCATAGCCGTGTCTCATATTGCCTCCTATCAGAGATTCAGTCCTGCCAGCTCCAAGCCCTGAATGCCGAGGAACCACCCCGGCACAGGCAGACCGTCGGCGCACGAGAAGCGGTCCAGTACGAGCAACCTCCAGACTGACGGCACTAGCTTTGGCCAAAGAGACATAGAAGTTTGCCTAGAAACTGCAGAAGCTGTGGATTCTAGTCTCTCCGAGCAGAAACGTACAATGCAAGGCACCTGTCACCATCGGTTAGGTCTTCACCGAAGACGTCCGAGATGTTGCACTCCGAGGTGAAGTTTGGCCTTTGCAACCGGATACATTTACATGGACCCGAGCCTAAGGCGTTTGGGGTAGAGGAGCAACCCACCTCCTTTAAGCCCCGGCGCTCACAGGCCAGTCGCAATCGCCTTTTTTCAGTGCTCCGGTAGGTGCTGCAGGGGCCCCTCTGCTTTGGCTGCTTTGGCTGCCAGCCCACAGCTCCCGATTATTCGAACCAACATCATGTCTTTTGGGCCCGTGTGGACCCCTCAGCAGACCCCCTATGGCCGATGGCCACTTGATTGCACGCCAAATATACGTCATGGACCCCCTGAAGGAGGCTTGGGCCCCTACTAGCGGCAGCGACAAACCCATCTAGAAGCCTATAGCTCAGTTCATGTTCCGGCCGCGCCCTAGGCGGGCTGCATTCTCATTTATGATTTAATGGTAAGGGCCTCTGCCACTTCACTGCTTAACACCTTGCAAGCCTTCTGCGTCACCATGCGATCTACACATGCCTGCAAACCTTCACTTCAACAAACCTTCCTGAGCTCAGCAGCGTGGGGGGTGGCTGCCCATAGCCAAAGCCCAGCCAACCTGCACGGGTAAGGGCGCCTACGGACTAAAGACTGCAGTACACAGATATTCTCAGCTTGCCTGATACGCTGTGCTTCCCAAAGTCAGAACCACCGCTGGGCAGGATGCTCACGCTGCTGCTGTAACCATGTTGAGGTGCACTGATAGCAGCATCCACGACACAAATCCAGGAGTAGGCCTCGTGTGGTACAAGGCCAGGGCCACGGATTCTCAGGTGGCCAGCCTCCAAACCGAACTGATCCGAAGTCTGGCAGCCGAGACCCGTGGCATCGGCCCCACACCAGCATAGGCGGAAGAGCCCACCTGAGGCCGTGATGTACTGGCTGGAGTCGGCTCCCCAAGTAAAGTTGGCGATCCGTCCGGCTGGAACCGAGGAGTTCACAGCGGAGGTCGCAGAGGTGGGAAGGGTCGCACCTGATCCTAAGCCCGCGGGAGGTGTGCCAATTCCGCAACTTGAAGCTGTCACGTTCCAGATCGATGAGGCGCGTTCGTACAAGGGCAGTGATGATCGGCGAACTTCTGACATCGCCATGAGCCGGTCGCCCGCTGCAAGACCAACACCAAGAATGCCCGGCACATCACATGTCAGGCTCACCCTACACTCCGCATAATGACCCTGAAGGGGACCCACGTACTTGCTGACCCAAGAACGTTGCCGCAAGTCCTCCCAGCCCGCGGTGTGACCTTGCTGACTGTCGATCGTTTCCCATGGGATTGGCAGCAAGGCCGAGGCTCCGATCTCATTCTCCCACTCAAAGGCAGAGACCCGGACTCTCAAAGTCCACCCTGCAATTCGCCCCCGAGAAGAAGTCGTCACTGCCAGGGCATTGCTGGAGGAGAGGGCATAAACAGCCGTGATGCTGTAACGGCAGAGCTCGTACTGGTCACTGAACAAGTACTTCACGCCATTTACCTCCGTCCACCTTAGCCAAGACAAGTTGTGACCACAACGGGCCGCTGTTGGCTCAATAGCTTGTGCAAGGACTCCGCGTTGCTTGCGCTAGACTACCTGAAGTGCCCTGAAGGCTCTGGTCCCCGACCCAAAACCTGAAAGCCTGGCACCCCTAGGGCCTTCGGGCTTCCGAAGCTTGAGGCAAGCAACAGATCCGGTACAGAGTAGGCCAAGGTCTGAGATCCTGAGGTACCTTCGTCAGATCGGGCTGGCATTCGCGCTTTGCCGCATGCTACATGTCGACATATCTAGCCAAAATGAAATAAAAACTCTTTACACTTTACACATAATTCCATGCCGCAGAACGGCGGAGAAGGGGGAGGGGGAATGACGTTTCATTCTACGGAATCGAAAGAAAAACAGCGTGCAGCCACCAGTGCTGACTGCCCAAGCTGTGCTGAGCGAACTGTCCACAGCTGCCTCCCGCGATTTCAGGGATGCACTCAAAAACATTTCTTGCAGGAAGGTTCAGAAACTTCTTGCAGATTCTATCATGGCCATGTCTGTGACGTTCACAGGTCCAACGGTCCACCCTACAGGCGTAGGTGGCGTACACCCTAGGCCTCGAAGCCGGCCGCTGAGCCGTTCCAGCGGCTGGGCACCGATACATTCAAGGGGTCTCCGGCGCAGTCCTCTGCAGTGAAAAACCCTTCATTCGGACGCAGCATGTTGTAAAAGGCCTAGCGAGCCAGCAAGCAGCAGAGCTGGTTCCTCTACCGCACCTCGCCACGAGGGGCCAATCAGGCGAACTATCAAAGCTCAAGTAGACAGAAGAGGAAAGGGAGACAGAGAAAAGAGTAGCAGGGAGAACAGAGCGAGGAAGGAAAGAAGGAGGGAGAGAGGGAGGGGAAGGAAGAGAGAGAAGCGAGAGACGAAAGGAAAGAAAGAGAAATAGACAAGACAAGAGAGAAGAGAGAGAGAGAGAGAGAGATAGAGAAAGAAAACAAGATAGCATCTTGACAAAAGACAGTCTGCCGTGATACACAGCGTTAACTAAGAACGAGCGATTAGAAAGCACAGGACACACAGATGATGTTTCTTCACACGATGGAAGCAGAAGACTAGCCAAGAATTCCCGTTCCGATCTGGTCCTGAAAGCTGACCTCTGCAATGACCGCCTCGCAAGTGGGGGAGGGGTGGGGGGGGCGCGTGGGCGTTAGCACGGGGAACCATGCCACAATGCGGCGGCAAACCCCTGCCTCCGGGTCTGGAAAGTCCGTCAGTTCCAGCTCCAAGTGCCCGATGCTCTGCACCTGCACCTCCAAAGTGCCTCGGCTGTTCGAATTCCAAACTCCACACTGGGAGCTTTCACATCTCCCGCCTGCTCGTTGATGGAAGCGCGTGTGGTTTGCACAGCTGTCTAAAGCTGAGCACCAGCAAAGATGGTAGCCTGGGTCGGCATCGGGATTCAGCATGATCCAACAGCAGCTCGGAGTCTTTTTGCTGGCAGGCGATCCCCCCCCCAACCCCACACTAGTTTTTGCCCTGCGCCAGCACACCAAATCCAATTTTGTTTGGACATTTTGGGCTCATCAACTGCTCCCTCCATTCTGCCGAATGGCTCCCAGGCAGAAGCTGCAGAGGCGACCAAGACAAGTCTTGGACGATCCCACCACCACCTGCATGGCGCTTGGAGCACTTGACATGGCACTGCACTCAACAAAACATCACTTGACCTCTCTACTGGGTATGGAGCATTGCTCCGGCACAACTTCGGCACATTCATCAGATTCGCAATACATGCACAACTTTAAGATAGACATGGCTGCCCTCCAAGGTACTACAGCTCCATGCAGGAAAACCAACGGCTGCAGACTTCAGACTAGTTAGAATCCTCAGGCAAGGATAGCCGATCAAGTAACCCCAGCAAGGGGCCATGGAAAGAGGATCTGCTCCCCTCTGTTCAGAAGGGACTCGACTGCTGCCCTTATTGCCCTTTTTAGCCCTTTTTGCAACATCCTTTGACACATCGACTTCCGCCCCTGCCTTCATCATGCACGTGCTCTGTGGTGTTGAAGGCGAAGCCAGACAAGGTGTTGCCTGTCGGGTGCGGTGACCTGCCTCCCTCCTTGTTCTGCCCGACTCTCATGCCTGAGAAGTCATCGCCGCTGCCACAGGAGTCCGTGTCCGGCATCAGCAGCACCTGGTCACCATCATGCAAGGGGAATCCGACCTCAGCAGTCAAGAGCGAGAGCAACTAAAGAAAGAACACAGGTGAACTTTAGAGCAGCGTGCTACTGGGGAAGCATGGTGCCAAGACACTAAATGTTCTACCTCGCACGGCTGGCCAATGAAACACCTGCGCTTGTTCTCTGCAAAGCCGACAACCGTGAGCATCCCAACTTCGATTTTGAAGCGCTCCGCTCTGTCACATGGAAGGGTGTCATGGGCTTGCCGAGAACACCAGCACATCTTGTACTTACCCCCCGTCGTGACAGCATCAGGTCCCCATGTGAATGTTGCGCCGTTGTCTGTGGCAGGGAGAGAGCGACCAAAGTCCGGAAATCCAAGAACGCCACGTGTTGCAAAGTCGATGAGGGGCGTGTCAGTTTCGGTGAGGCCTGTCCCTGTGCGGCAACTCTCAAGCAGCATGAGCCTATCTCCGTCTTCCAAGAAGCTGCCGGTGATGTTGTAGATGGTGCAACTCTGGGAGTGAAAGCACGTGCGATCTTGACCAGATCGAGGGCCGGCGATGGTGATAACACCAGCATCGACCGCAAAACCAAGGGGGGAACTGCAAGATGCCCCCGACCCCGCACCGCACCAGCACAGCCGGTATGCACCGTTGGGGGCACGAATCTCCTCCGGACCGAAGCTGATAGTCAAGTTGTTGTACTGAAACCGTTCACCCAAGTAGCCCGATTGTGTGGCCTTGCTGGACCGCTGCGACCCAGGCACCACACAGTAATCCGGGGCTGAGCAACTCTCGAAGCCCGCTGCTTGAGCGCAGGTGCTCATGATCTGGACAAGATCACCATCCTGAAGATTTACCCCTTGGAGCTCGCTCAAGCTGCAGCGCTCATACGTAGCGCACGCAAATGCCTGGAAGCCCACAGGTGCTCGCACAACCACACCGCCAATGTCTACCACAAAGTTTTCCGCCACAGCACCTCAGAGACTCAGAGCCATTGCAAGCTTCCACATGCCCCAAATGCTTCCAACCCTTCCAATCTTCTTGCTGCCGACTTGCAGGGCATACCAGCCTGGCACCAACAAAGGCGGTAGTTGCCCCCTTTCCTCAGATGGCTTGGGAGTTTGGGTGGCTTCTCTATCCGACATTTGCTACATCTCTTAAGAAGCTATTCAGCCGAGGTCACGCAGTGACAAACTCTTCGCCAGTTCCCCATATGAATGCCGAGCCCTGCATGCATTGGGAAGGACATGTCATTGGAGAATTGGAGATGTTTACACAGACCACCGGTACCCCCTGAAGCGAACCTCTTCAGTGGCGGGGTTGGAGATGCCACCATTGGGGAAGCCGGTCACTGCTGCACCGGCAACACCACCTGAGGCTTCAGGCTGAAGAGAGAATGCTGGTCAACATGTTTTTCCCGAAGCCCTCCCGAAATCCTCCCAAGACTTTGACGACTGCGCCGGGCCCAACGTAACAAACGTGTGGCTTTTCTGCCCAAGCAGCAAGTTTGGAGAACCATCAGCACATCGCCGTCTTGGAGCCCTTGGGACCGGGAAGTTTGAGGAGGACAAGCTGCAAAAGAAAATCCTCTCTGCCCCTACATCCATTGCTACGATGCCAAGCAAAGAATGTCTATAAAGATGTCTGCATCTCTTCAGCCAGGTATCCCAGTCCTGCAATATCAGTGACGTTGTAGACGGTGCCTCCAACTACGTCACGATTTTGGTCTGCACAGTAGCCAGGTGGGCTGATATCGCACGAGAGGTAAGGTCCAACAACACTGAGCTGGCCAACATCAAGGCCGAAGGCGCTCGGAGTGCGACACTCGTATCCTTGTGGGCACCAGCATAGGCGGTAGTTGCCCCCTGCCAAAATAGCACCATTGAACGCACCCTGCGTGCCCCAGCTGAACATCGACCCATGCTGCTGGGCCTCTAGGGATACTCCCCGAGCACGCCCTGGCACCTCTGGGAAGCCTACGGCGCCAGCCGCTCCCGCAAGCTCTGAGCAGGACACCATGGCCATCAAGCGGTCGCCATTCGAAAGCCCGATCCCAGACAAGCCGGCAACCTCCCCAGCCTCTCCACAGGCCTGTCCGACATGGCACGTGCGTGAGTAGCCCAGGAAAGGACCTTTTACTGTCAGGATACCAGCAGGAATTGCGAAGTCAACTTCATCAAAACATCCGCGGGACGCGGGGCACCAGCAAAGCTGGTAGTGGCCCGGCAGGGCCAACACGGGTTCGGGCCCAAAGCTGAAGACAGCTGCATCTGTCGCAGGCTGCGAAACACCATTCTGCGGCATCCCGCGCACTGCCATCGGCCATCCTCCTGCTGAAGTCCCTCGCCCGCAAGGGGAACCACTCATGCGCATAGCTGCCAGCCGATCTCCAGCAGCCAAAGCAAAATTCGAGGCTCCGAGCGCAGTCAAATTCTTAAGGCAGCAAGGTGCACCATACACGCAAACTGCCGCAAGATTTCGAAGAGAGGCCAGTTGGCGCACTTGATGGCTGCCCTCGTCGGCTATATAGAGGTCCATCCATGGTAGCCTGGCTTCACTTTGAGCATCTAGAGGAGCAAGAGGGAGAGGAGGAAATGCCATCTGACCTGGTGATCGCAAAGTAACACCATCGCGGAATGGCGTTGTGGTGGGCAGGGCGGCATAGCCTCCGACCCTTAGCGGCGAGGTTGCCCCGTTGCCGGCGAAGCCATCAATGATACCTGTCGCGGGGTCGATCACGCGGATTCGATTGTTTCCTCTGTCAGCAATGTATACATAGCCCATTATGTCCACTGCAACATGCGCCCGATCCAGACTTAGTCTGGCAACCGCTGCTAAGCCGCCATCACCAGTGTCACCGACCAAGCCCAAGCCTGCAAAAGTCTCGATGATACCCGTGGCATTAACGACCCGCCGAATCCTTGAGTTGCCCTGGTCGGCGATGTACAGGTCATCATTGCGAGGATCAAAGGCAAGCCCTACTACGTGGCGAAATTGGGCATCCACTGCTGGACCACCGTCGCCGCCAAAACCGTAGACGCCGTTCCCCGCATAAGTGCCGATCTGTGGCAGTGCGGAGTACACTATCGGCGTAGTGTTGGCATGCATCACAACCCTGGACTCCAGAAAAACTTTGCGAACGCGACCGTTGAGCATGTCGGCGATGTACAAGTCGCCACGGCTATCCACTGCCAAGGATACAGGCCCGTTGAGCAAGGCAGCGTTCGCAGCACCTCCATCCCCGCTGTAGCCAGGGAGTGATTGCTGCCCTGCAACAACAGAAAGCATTCCCGCGGCAGAGTATGGATACACATCCGTGGAATTCTGTGTCGGAACAACCCAAACTATCGAGGTGAGGGCAGTGCCACCGCCATCAAACCTTGCCTCTGCAATAAACACCCGACCGGTCTGATCAACGGCTAATGCCACCGGTTCCAGCGGAACTGTTTCGGCTGCGAGCGGCAGATTAGACCACGACCTCGAAGTTGAGGGCACCGCGCCGGTGCCAGCGAAGCCGCTGATGGTGCCCGTGGTCGCGACAACGCGAACTCGACGCTCACCAGTGTCAGCAATGAAGACATTGCCCTCCCTGTCCACTGCCACACCTCAAACAAGCCAGTGGCTGTACTACGAAGGGACACACTTCCAGGCCAACTACATACCCCCTTCGGCCTTGAGGACTGTCCAGCTGCGCATCGTTTGCAGGGCCCCCATCGCCGCAGCCCGTACTGCCACAGGCACTGCCTGTGCCCGCCAAAGTGTGCATTGCTCGAGGGGCATTCCTCAGCTGACAACTCGAATTCAAAGGGTGTCGAGACGTAGGCACGCAAACATAATTTGTCATGCTAACAACGCAGCAAGCGGCTTGCCGACTTATCTCAAAGATTTGCATGGTGGTGGTACTTGGGTGATCTTGCTGCTTTCCATCAAGTTCTTACACCCAGCATTTGGAGCTGCCGGAAGTGTTCTGACGCTTGACGGATGGTCCCCGGGTGAGCCTCATGCAGCAGCGGCAGCAGCAGCAGCAGCAGCAGCAGCAGCAGCAGCAGCAGCAGCAGCAGCGGCAGGCTTAGTTTGGTCAGGGGGCATACGTCCCAACCTGATAAATGCAAAAAAGGGACGGCTCACCATCTGATCTGACACCCAAACCTGCATACAAACGAAGCGGGCCGTACCTCCATCCGCCCCACTAGCCGCAACCCACCCTGGCACCTTCCGTCACAGACCAAGTCTGCGAAGCTTTGCTTGAATCGCAAGCTGCCAGCACCTTGCACAAGCCAAAAAGGAGCAGTGCAAATCCACAAAAGTGCAGAAACACAGCACTTTTGCTTACAAACGCTTTTCGTTTAACTTTGTGCTCTCTTGGGGCAGCACGAGGCCAACGTCCCAGTCTGCTGCATCCACGCACGCACCCTGCAACCGGAGCAGAAACCTTGGGTCCAGCAGCAAGGACTTGAGGCAAGCCGAGAGGCCAACGAAAGCAAACTCAACCCCCCTAAGAACCCCCGAACCCGTAAAGTCCTTAAAATTAAAGCCCTACTAAACCCCAAACCCCTTTGTTGAAGCGTGGACTGAGGTTGGCGACAGCACATGAAACGCGTGATGCAGGGATTGAGGGCGGCGAGCACGTTTGACAGGGCTTGCAACATGTCGTAAGCAATAGGTCAGTATGCAGTGGTGGAAGTAGAATTCGCCGAAGAATGTGGCCGCGCACTCGAAGCTCAAGACACGGGCAGCACCCTGAACCCCTGACCCGTGAACCGTTCAGTACTGACCCCTCACCCTCATCCTGTGATAGATAGAGGATGGAGCAAGACCGAGAAAGTACGTGACAAGACAGCATAGAGTACCCGAAAAGAGCCCCTAGGAGCAGCTGCTGACTTGGGGCGGGTCTTCCGGTGGCTGCTGCCCAGTGATCCTGACAGGCATTGAGATCTGTGGCAACGCGGCGTTTCAGTTTCGAGTTCTCTTGGGAGGGGCACCGTCCTGAACTGCTGGCGCTCATCAAAACCGTCGCACAGTGAAAGCCTCACTCGGTCGCCGCTGCCAATGACTCCGTCACCTGCTCGCCAACTCTCGGCATGTCACGGTGTTCAAGGATTCTGCGCCCTGAAGCTGACAGCCTCGAGCGTGGCAACTTTCCCAGCCTGAAAAATCATAGCCCTGCCAGCAGAGCTCCGTGTCCAGGCCCCGGATCGTGCGGTCACTGCTCAGGACCCAACGTTGCCCTGAGCTGGGCTCTGATCTAACACGAAAACCTGAACAAACCGTGGTCTGGAACCACTAACAGCTAACCCCACTGATCAAACAAACAAAATCTGAACCTTCGTCACCTTGCCCACAGCACAAGACTTAAGGCCATCTGCTGTGTGCCTACCGGAACTCGACAGAAGCTTTTTAGAAGCATGCTGGGGAAAACGTTGGCACTGAGCATCGTTCCTGGCACTCATGCTTGCGGAAGTGCCTGATTTAGTACTATTACTAAGGGTTCCGTGGGGTTGGAAACTGACTGTACAGTTGATCCACGTCCTGTTCACCTTCATCCACAAGACCCCCTATTAAAGGGAGAACGAAGTGAATAAATGAGCTTGCGAATGAAATGAATGAGAGAACCAAAAGCCCCTTTATAAGTAGAGTATACCATGGGGGGCTTTGGAAAGAATCCTAAAAGCAAAACATGTCCTGGCAATCGAGATGTCGGAAGCTGTCTTTATGAGATTGTTTGAGAAGGAGTGAGAGGATGCATGAAAACCAAGCCAAGAAGGTGAAAAATCAACGGGAAGTTCACAACAACAAGCTCCTCTCCCCACGAGCTTCAAGGAACCAACGTCCCAATCCAAGCCTGCAGACATACCACTCAAGCTTGAAACTCTTGCCAACCTGATGATTCGCCTTCACACTGCTCAACCCAGGCTCCACTTCCGACGCAGCTGGCCAAGGTCACATCGCCGTGGATGCCGTCCTGGGCGACTGGGAACTCAGGCTCAAGCACAGCATTCTGCAAAAGAAGGCTCGCCCATGAGACTCATGAGACTCGTGCCTCAACCTGGGATTTGCCACTGAGTTCAGCCCCAAACCACCCACAAACACATACAACGACCAACACCTGGTTACAAGTTGCTGGCCAAACTCGAAACATGTTCGCACGAAGCACGTACAAACCTCGAACTATAGCGGCCTCAGCCCCAAACAGCAATTCCTGAAGCTGCCGACTCGGCATGCGACAAAAGCATCAAACAATCCCAGACGAGCGTCACAGCACCCAGGGTCTACTACTTACTACTTTCAGGGGAGGCGGATGGCAGACAAGTGGGAGACAAATGGGAGACGAACAGTCCCAGAGGGTCTGGTGACTTCACAAAGGGAAATTAAGAACCCCCGCCCCGGCCCCCGCATGCAGCTGAGGAAACAACATCCAGGGAGACAATGGGGACAAATCGGAGGCAACCGTCCCGACGGGCGTCACGGCATCCAGCATCGACAAAAGCGGGAGACAAAAGGGAGACAACAGTCAGTGGGAGACCAACAGTCCGAGATAAACATCACATCATCCAGGGTTTGCTCATTTATAAAGGGAAACAAATGGGAGACCACAATCCCTGGCGGGCGTCACAGCATCCAGGGAACACGAATGCAGACAAATTCGATTCATATAAGACTTGTACCGTCAGAACCCAGTTGTGCGTCACAGAAACCCTGTCTTTAAGTAAATCAAGAACCCCAGCTGAAGCGGTTTGGGGAAAACTCCAAATGTGCCCATCAGCCACTGATACCAAGTTGCATCGGGCACTGTCGCACAAATCCTCGGACATTTAGACAGCAATGGGCAGTGATTGAGCAGTGCTCCCTGCAATTGAGGTGCCACGCGACCCGCACTGCAGAGCCAACACGCTGCCAGTTCGCAAATCCGCGCCAAGCTGCGGCAGCGTGGCGCCCACGGCACTGCTAAACCCTCCGGTGCTTGAGGCACAAGCCGTGTTCTCGCAGGCGACCTGCAGGAGACTAGATCCCAAGCAAGCACACAAGGCAGAGAATCTCAGGACCTCGGGACCGTTGACCCTTTGTCAGCTTGAGGCTTCGAGGGACGTTGAAGCCCTTTGGGGCTCGGTGGGGCGCTGGGACATGCGCAAAGAATCCTCAAAAGAGTGGAAGCTCTCAACGACAGGCTTGGATTGAGCCCCTTGAACAAATGGATAGCTCGCATTGCACGTCCCGTCCGCAAGTTTTTTTGCCTGGGTTCTTCAAGACAGTGGCTGCTTCCCAACACAGTGTCTGTTCGGCGTGAGCAATCATTCCTTTGGAAGTTGCTGCACACGGTCTTAACTTGTACAGAGCATCGCAGCGTGTACTGTGAACACTTGCAACAACTTTTGCAAACGTTTGCAGAGCTGCGCCTGGAGAAAGTACACACCACCATCCCGGAAGAAAGGCGCCTGACAGTTTGAAAACTGCAAGATCACGTGTTCGACTAACATGTAGCAGCCCGAATGGTTTCACGTGTCCTGACGCGTCCCTGATGTGATGATAGCCGCAGCACTGTCATAGCTGGACGTCCATTGAATTTACTTTCAACTGTGCCATCTTCAATGTCCCACAATGGCGCACGCTTCCTAAGGTCCTCACCTCTATCTGAGAGATCTTCTCCGTGGAGTGGCCACCTAGGGCATCCCGACCGAGGCTTCAGACCCCCCCAACCGATGACGGCAATTGTGGTGACTGCCTTCCGCGATCGGGGACGAGCAACAGGCCGAGCCACTGTAGATCCTGCCTCGCTGGACGACAAGCGCCTCTGCGTGGCCGTCGTCGGTGGCACTGTTGATGTTCAAGCCATCCTGGGAAAAACTCCGGAGAGGCTGCCCACCTCCGACCCTTGAAAGCGCAGAGCACGCAGCCTTCTTTGCTAAAAGCGTGTATGTTACATTCAAGACAGGAGTACCTACACTGACCTACACGCAGAATCATGCAGACCCCATACCCCTTTCAACTCGCAGACGCGCGCACAATTCGCAGACTGCACGGCCCAGCGGCAAAGAGAAGTGCCCCACGTCGCTGCCCATCCCGGCACCGCAGCCGCACCACCCGCTGGAAGCCCGACACGCTGGAGGAGACCTTGTATGATTAGGGCGGGATTAAAGCAATCCGCCGGCGCGAGGACGAAATTCGAAAAGCTACGATTCTTAGCGCTTCTTACATGGGGTCCAGAAGTCCGAGTCATCCAACGGGTGCAGATGGCAATATGCAAGCTGAGGTTCATAGACACTAGCACCATCGGATAGGATGGCCTGCAG